CTATTTGCTGATGATATGATCCTATACCTAGAAAACCCAAGATTTTGTTGTCGTTAGGTGCCATCGAGTTTTCCCCAACTCATAGCAACCCTATGGACAGCAAAACAAAACACTGCCCGGTCCTGTGCCAGCCTCACAATCCTTGCTATACCTGAGCCCATCATTGCAGCCACTGTGTCAATCCCAAAGAAAACCCAAGAAACTCAGTAAAAAAACAAAACAAAACAAAAAAACTACGCGAACTAATTGAGAAATTTAGCATAGTGGCAGAATACAAGATCAACATCCAAAAATCAGTTGGATTCCTCTACACCAGCAAAGGGATTGCTGAAAAAGAAATAAGGAAATCAATACCATTTACACTAGCTAACAAAAAATAAAATGCTTAGGAATGAATCTTACCAGAGACACAAAAGACCTATACAAAGAAAACTACAAACGACTCCTTCAAGAAATCATAAGAGATCTACATAAATGGAAGAACATACCATGCTTATGACTACTTCAAGAAATCTTAAGAGATCTACATAAATGGAAGAACATACCATGCTTGTGGATAGGAAGATTGAACATTGTGAAAATGTCAATACTACCCAAAGCAATCTATACATTCAATGCAATCCAAACCTAGCTCCCATCAACATTTTTTAAGGATATGGAAAAACCAATCACTAATATTATATGGAAAGGAAAAAGACCTCTCTTTGGTAGCATAGTGCCTAAGGCACTTGACTGCTAACCAGAAGGCTGGTGGTTGAAACCCACCAGCCACTCCTCAGAAGGAAGGTTGGGCAATATACTTCCACAGTGATACTGCCTTGGAAACCCAAGAAGGGGTCGCTATGAGTCGGGGGGTCATTATGAGTCAGGTCCCACTCAACAGCACTTAACAACAACAACAACAATCAAAGCACTATTGAAGAAGAACAAAGTAAGATGTCTCACACTCTACAATCTCCAGACCTACTATACAGCCACAGTAGTCAAAACAGCCTGATTTTGATACAACAGTAGACACATAGACCCGTGGAATAGAATTGAGAACCCAGAAATAGATCCACTGACCTATGGTCAGCTCATCTTTGACAAAGGGCTGAAATCCATGATATAGGGAAGAGATGGTCTCTTTAACAAATCGTGCTCGCAAAAGTGGATATCCATTTGCAGAAAAATGAAACAAGATCCATACCTAACACCGTACATAAAAAGTAACTCTAGATGGATGAAAGACTTAAATGTGAAACCTAAGACTATGAAGTTCCTCAAGGAAAAAATAAGGGCAAATTTAGGGGCCCTCATTTATGGCATAAATACACTGTCAAGCATAACCCAAAACACCCAAACAGCAGAAGATAAACTGGATGAACAGGACCTTCTAAAAATTAAATTTTTATATACTTCCAAAGACTTCTCCAAAAGAGTAAAAAGAACCTACAGATTGGGAAAAAATATTCAGTTATAACATATCCAACAAGGAATTTGTTGCTAAAATTTATAGAAAACTCCAACACCTCAACAACAAAAAGAGAAACAATCCATTAAAAAATGGGCAGAAGACATGAATAGACACTTCACCAAAGAGGACATTCAGGTGGCCAAGAAACACATGAAGAGAGATGCAAATCAAAGCAACAATGAGATACCATCTTGCCTCAGCACTAATAGCAAAGTTCGAAAAGACAGAAAATAACAAATGCTGGCAAGGATGTGGAGAGATTGGGACTCTCATACACTGCTGGTGGGACTGTAAGATGATACAACTACTGTGGAAAGTGACATGGTGATTCCTTAAAAAGTTGGAATTAGAAATACTATTTGATCCAGCAATTCATTATTAGGTATATATCCTAAAAAAGTGAGAGCCAGGACAAGAACAAATATATGCACACCCATGTTCACCGCAGCACTCATTACAATAGCAAAAAGATGGAAACAACCTACATGCCCATCAACAGAAGAAAATTGTAGTACATACTCACAATGGAATACTATGCAACACTAAAGAATAATGTAGAATCTACAAAACACCATATAATGTGGATGAACTTGGAGGACACTATGCTGAGTGAAATAAGTCAATCACAGAAAGACAAATATTGTATTAGTTCATTATTGTAAAAAGTCAAGGAAAGGTTTATATATGGAAGGAAATTTTCTTTGTTGGTTATTAGGGGTGGGTGGAGAGGGGAGGGAACACTGCAAAAATAAGTAAATTTAAAACAAAATGAAAAAAGGAGTCAATAGAGAATAGTCTTTGAATGAGTGCTGCCATCTAAGGTTGGCTTTCATGTGTCATGTGAGACAACAGAGATGAAAGAGAGTTGTCCCAGCTCTTCATCTGGTCTCAGTCAGCAATGAGAACCAGGAAATGCAACAACACTTTGTCCACCTTTGTGCCCCTTCCTTTATCCAGTCCAGCTACTGCCTGTTGAGCGCCTGATACAGTGTGTGATGCTTGATACATGCTCAGTACCCTTTTGTTGAATGACTGCTGCCGTTCCTGCTCAACCACAATATAATATCCTCTTAGAAAACTCTGGTAGCATAGTGCCTAACGCATTTGACCGCTAACCAGAAGGCTGGTGGTTCAAACCCACCAGCCACTCCTCAGAAGGTAGGTTGGGCAATCTACTTCTGTAGTGATATCGCCTTGGAAACCCAAGGAGGGGTGGTAGCTATGAGTCGGGTCTGACTCGATGGCACACGACAACAGCAACACAGAAAAATAAAGATGACAGCATTTTTTAGAGCTGAAATGGAACCTTAGAGTTCATCTAGCTTTACACTTTCATTTTACAGATAAGAAAATAAGGCCAAGGAAAGTTCAAGCTTTTGCTCAGAAACACATTTCTGGTTAGTGCAGAACCATGTAAAGAAATCAATGTACTTTACTGCCTCCCTCTCACCATTGATTGCCTCCTGAAAGCATGAGTCTGAAAGGAATTCATTTTTTGAGATGGTTGGAAATGAGTTTGAAATACTTTTAGGAAGAGAGGACCTGTAATTACACTAATACTTACAGAGTTATCAAAACTCCAGAAAGTCTTGGCTACTAGCCTAACATCATTATCCAATACTTTAAAGCCCCTGAAAATCACTGACCTCTTCCAATAGAAAATTTTTCATTTGAATCAAGAAATAACCATTTTTATTTATAAAGTTGTCCCGGATCTAAATAGCATCATCCAAACATGGTAAATACTTGGATAGGAACGTGCATATATAGAAAGTAGTTGTTATTTCAAGGAATAATATTAATAAAAAATATAGCATATTAAAAAATATTATAGTATATTTTTTAGTAAGTCTCCAAGACCAACCCCTGGAGAAAGCTATTATATTTGTTACAAGTAGAGGGTCAGTAAAAATAAAGGAAACCTTCAGTGGGACAGAATGACACAATAGACACAACAATGAGCTATGAAACATACCAAAGATCATGGCGATGGCACAGGACCAGGCAATGTTGAGCTCTGTTATATAGAAGGTCACCATGAATAGGAGTTGACTTGATGGCAAATAACAACAAAATTGTAGTGGGTTAAAAGATAGTCTCCAATTTCTTTGACCCTCCTGTCATGGCGATGTGGGATCTACATTTCCTCCTTTTGAATTTGAGTCATTTCTGTGACTGAAGTGATGCTGTGCCAGTTTCTGAGCCCAGGATTATAAAATTGGCAGCTTTCACTTCCTGTCACAAAACAGTGGTTCATAACAGCATCCACCATGCTGTGAGGAAGCACAAGCTATTCCATAGGGTGATCCACATGGAGAGGAGCCAAGACCTGGCTACAGCCCTGTGTGAACTTCTAGCCAATGGCCAGCACAAATTTGCTGCCATGTGAGTGAACCATACTGGAAGTTTTCAATATTGGAAGTTTTGGAATCAGCCCTATTTGAACTACTCCAGCTGATGCCTCATGAACACAAATGAGCTGTTACAGCCAAGTTCTGATCATATTGTAGATCTGTGAGCCAAATAAATGATTGCTATTGTGATAAGTCACTATGCAGTAATAGATAACTGGAACACATAAAATACTGGTTGACTGAAACTGAGCTAAATAAAAGACTTACCTTAACTCCAAAAGCTTTCAAGTAAAACATTTCTATTGGCTTTAGGCCCATTTGGGTTTTGACAAATTTTGGACTTCCCCAAATTTGGATGTGGATGGATATCTGAAAATGGTTCTTCTTTTGGCAAACAAAAGCTTCATCTGCTGGTGAAAAATTAAATCCTTTGTCGGTGACAACTCGATAGCCTACGTCAGGCCTATGAAAAGAGGAATAAAGAAACCAGTTGTACAAATACTTACTTCCTACACATTTTCTTTCATTAACCATTTTAATCGCATAAACACTTCAAGAAAAAGTATTGCAGAAAATACCTTTTGCTATATTTAATCAATGATTTCTTGAGTTTTTACTAAGGAAATGAAAATATTTCAAAACACAGCTGGCCCTTGTTTTTTATCTTCTCACAGAGGACAAGTGCAATTCTTGCCAAATGGAAGCATTGTTTTTTAAGACTGCCTCTCCCCTTCATGTTTCTAGGCTTTTAATTTGATTTCATAATACAATAGAATGATGTAGGCTAGAGGTACTGCATTACTCAGATTTGGAAAATATCTAGGATAAAATTATTCTCATTCCTCTCTTTTTTAAAAAAAAAACAACTCTACACTTCATCAACAACACTACACTCAATAATTATTATTAATAATAATAATTACTCAGATGAATGCATAATCACATGGGTGTAGACTGGCTAGAATTGCCATGAATAGTTTTAAACCATATACAATTAACCAGAGCCAGTCATACTACTACATATACACTACTACACTACTCATCCGTCAGTTTGTCACACTATGGTGGTTGTGTGTTGCTGTGAGGCTGGAGGCTATGCCACCAGTAGTTCAAATACCAGCATGATCACCCACAGTGACAGGTTTCAGTAGAGCTTCTAGACTAAGACAGACTGGGAGGAAGGATAGGAATCCACTTCTGAAAATATTGACCATAAAAAACCTTATGAATAGCAGTGACATAGATTGGAAGGCACTGAAAACACTACTCAAAGTAGATTTGCCCTTAATTACATGAAGAGAGTAAAGCTTACAGGACATTTATTTGAACTGATGGGGTACAACTCCAAATGGGAAGAAAGAGCTGCAAACATTCATTAATAATCAGAACACGGAATGCATGAAGTATGAATCTAGGAAAATTGGAAGTTGTCAAAAATAAAATGGAATGCATAAAGATCTATATCCTAGGCATTAGTGAACTGAAAAGGAATGTAAGTGGCCATTTTGAATCAGATAATCATATGTTCTACTATGCTGGGAATGACAAATTGAAGAGGAATGGCACTACATTCATCATCAAAAAGAACATTTCAAGATCTATCCTGAAGCACAGTGCTGTCAGTAATAGTATAATATCCATATGCCTCTAAGGGAGACCCACCAGCCACTCCTCGGAAGGAAGGTTGGGCAATCCTACTTCCGTAGTGATACTGCCTCGGAAACCCAAGGCGGGGTCGCTATGAGTCGGGTTTGACTCGACGGCACATAACAACAACAACAATAACATAAGGGAGACCAGTTAATATTACTATTTTCAAATTTACACACTAACCATTAAAGCCAAAGATGAAGAAATTGAAGTGTTTTTCCAACTTCTGCAGTCTGAAATTGAGCAAACATGCAATTAAGATGTATTGGTTATTACTAGTGATTCTAACGCAAAACTTGGAAACAAAGAAGAATCATCAGTAGTTGGAAATATGGCCTTGGTGATAGAAATGTTCCCAGACATCTCATGATAGAATTTTGCAAGGCCAATGACTTATTCATTGCAAATACCTTTTTCAACAGCATGAACAGTGGCTTTGCATGTGCACCTCACAAGATGGAACACACAGATCACTTATTACATCAGCAGAAAGAGATGATAGAGAAGCTCAATCTCATCAGTCAAAACAAGGCCAGGATCTGACTGTAGAATAGACCATCAATTGCTCATATGCAAATTCAAATTGAAGTGAAAGAAAATGAAAACAAGTCCAGGAGAGCTAAAATATGACCTTGATTATATGCCACCTGAATTTAGAGACCATCTGAAGAACAGCTTTGACACAATGAACACCAATGACCGAAGACCAGATGAGTTGCGGGATGACATCAAGAACATCAATAATGAATAAAACAAAGTCATTTAAAAGACAGGAAAAGAAGAAAAGACTAAAACAGATGTCAGAAGAGACTCTGAAATTTGCTCTCAAATGGGAGTAGCTAAAACGAATGGAAAAAAATGATGAAATAAAATTGCTGAACAGAAGATTTCAAATGGCGGCTCAAGAAGACAAAGTAAAATATTATAACAAAATGTGCAACCCTGGCATTAGAAAACAAAAAGGGAACAACACTCTCAGTATCTCTCCAGCTGAAAGAACTGAAGAAAAAATTCAAGCCTTGAGTTGCAATATTGAAAGATTCTATGGGAAAAATTTTGAATGATGCAGGAAGCATCAAATGAAGATGGAACAAATTTACTGTGCCAAAAAGAATTGGTCGACATTCAACTATTTCAGGAGGTAGCATATGATCAAAAATCAACGGTACTGAAGGAAGAACTCCAAGCTGCACTGAAGGTATTGACAAAGAGCAAGACTCTAGGAATTGACAGAATATCCATTGAGATATGTCAAGAAACAGATGCAGTGCTGGAGGCGCTTACTCTTTTATGCCAAGAAATTTGTAAGACAGCTACCTGGCCAACTGACTGGAAGAGATCCATATTCTTACCCATTCCAAAGAAAGGTGATTCAACAGAATGTGGAAATTATCAAATAATAACATTAATATCACACACGAGTAAAATTTTGCTGAAGATAATTTTAAAAAATGGTTGCAGCAGTATACTGACAGAGAACTTTCAGAAACTCAACTTAGACTCAGAAAAGGATATGGAACAAAGGACATCATTGCTGATGTCAGATGGATCTTAGCTGAAAGCAAAGAATATCAGAAAGATGTTTGCCTGTGTTTTATTGACTATACAAAGACATTCCACAGTATGAATCATAACAAATCATGGATAATGTTGCAAAGAATGGGAAGTCCAAAACACTAAATTGTGCTCATGAGGAACCTGTGTAGAACAAGGGAATATGCACGGTTTAAAATAAGGAAGGGTGCATGTCAGGGTTGTAGTCTTTCACCATACTTATTCAATCTGTATGCCGAGCCAATAATCCAACAAGCTGTATTATAGGAAGAAGAACAGGGCATGAGGATTGGAGATAGACTCATTAACAACCTGCACTATGTAGATGGCATAACCTTGCTTGCTGAAAGTGAAGAAGACTTGAAGTATTACTGAAGAAGAACAAAGACTACAACCTTCCATATGGATTATACTTTAAAACAAAGAAAACAAAAATCCCCACAACTGGACCAATAAGCAACATCACAGCACATGGAGAAAAGATTGAAGCTGTCAGGGATTTCGTTTTATTTGGATCTACAATCAACACCCAGGTAAGCAGACATCATATTGTGCTAGGAAAATCTGCTGCAAAAGATCTCTTTAAAAGACTGGTGGAACCCCAAGACTATGGCCCCGGGTTATCCTTTGGGCCTGGAAAGGGACTCACTTCCATGGATTGGCTTTCAGCCCAACAGTAGAAAGACCTACAAGCAAAACGCCTACCCCAGGGAAATGCACCCCTTAAATAAAACAGCCATGAGACATCAGAGGGGCAGCATTCACATAAAGGGAAAGCCGGACAGCCAGAAATGCATAAATAGGAAGGGCACGGGGAAGGCGTAGTCACAGGAAGGAGAGGAAGGAGAGTTTTTTATAGTTGGGGATTGTAATCAGGGCAGAAAATCAAATGTGCACGAACTGCTGAGAGTAAAACAAATCTGCTTTGTAAATTTGCACCCAAATCACAATTTAAAAAGAAAGAAAGAAAAATGTAGAACATAACTCAAAATTATAAAAAAGACCAGGCTTACTGATCTGATAGAGCCTAGTGAAACCTTCGAAACTATGGGCCCTAGTTACCCTTCAGGCCTGGAATTGAACTCACTCCCACGGCTGCTAGCCAAATAGACGGCCATATAAGGTAAACATTTACACCAGGTAGATACACTCCTCAGAACAATCAATCATGAGAGATCAGAAACCAAAAAACCAAACTCACTGCCATTGAGTTGGATCCAACTCATAGTGACCCCTCCTTGGGTTTGTGAGGCAGTATCACTATGGAAGTAGATTGCCCAATCTTCCTTCTGAGGAGTGGCTGGTGTGTTTGAACCACTGGCCTTCTGGTTAGCAGTCAAATGCCTTAGGCACTACGCAGAGAGATAACTCAGGGGGCAGGAATGCATAGGAAAGAAGGGCACAGGGAAAAGGTAACTACAGGGAGGAAGTGGGAAGAGCTAATTACATTGTGGGGATTGCATCCAATGTCATGAAACAAAATATATAAGAACTGCTATATGGAAAATGAATTTGCTTTGTAAACTTTCACCCAAATTACAATGAAAATAAATTTTTTTTTTTTTTTTTTTTAAAAAAAAGACCTCTTTAAAATGTTAAGAAGAAAAGATGTCCCTTTGAAGACTAAGGGACTCCAAACTCAAGCCATGGTATTTTCGACCGCCTCGTACGCATGTGAAAGCTGAACAATGAATAAGGAAGACCAAAGAAGAGTTGAAGCCTTTGAATTGTAGTGTTGGCAAAGAATACCAAAAAATAGCATGGACTGCCAGAAGAATGAACAAATTCGTCCTGAAAGAAGTGCAGCAGGAATGCTCCTGAGACACAAGAATGGCCAGATCTTATCTCTCCTACTTTGGTCATGTTGTCAGAAGAGGCCAGTCCCTGGAGAAGGATATCATGCTGGGTAAAGTAGAGAGTCAGCAAAAAGGGGAAGACCCTCAATGAGATAGACTGACACAGTGGCTGCAACAATGGGCTCAAGTATAGCAAGGATCGTGAGAACAGGACCGGGCAGTGTTTCCTTCTGTTTTTCATAGGGTTGCTATGTGTCTATGAGTTGGAGCCGACCCACTGGCACCTACAACCACAAGAAGTCACACTCTTTATTAAAAACTTTTTTCACTAGAGTATGGTCATTTCTTTTTTATCTTCTCAATCCACTAATAGCACTGAAAACCAACTATGGTTTGTTATTTCTGTAGAAAGGAATGAGATGGTGATGGGGTGGCTAACCAGGCTTTTGCTTTATTTGTCCTGTTGAAATATCTTTGACAACAATGTTTTGTATATTATATGCTTAATTAAATACTATCAAAATGTTAATTAAATATATTAAATGTATAACTGTTATTGAAGAAAATACAAAAGCTAAATCTTTTTTAGTATTTCCCATACACCTTGTAGGAATGGAAAGTGATTTTAAATCATCAAGTTTCCTAAACATGGGTTAGGAAAGAAGCTCCTCCAAAATTTAGCACAAGCAGAAGGGAGCAGTAGTCATGCTTGGGCTAACTCTACCACTATGTGGCTCTTGGCATCCTGGGATCTCAATTTGGATGGCTGCTTTTATGGTGAACAATACAGAGTTTCTAAGTTTTCCTCTAATTCAGAGACAGACAACATTCCAGGATCTCCTGGGAAGAGAATGTTCATGTTCTTTGCCAGTTAAGCACCTCCTCAATGGACCAAGTCACTGGGTTATTGATTACCCCAAGTAGCCGATCAGACAGGCTCCACAACCATAGCGCCCACCAGTAGAAAAAGGAAAATCCATTAAATGAAGGATTTGATAAAGATGACATGTCTTATGCCATCTGAGAGCTTTATATTGACTCAAGTTTCTAGAACTAATCTGCTCATTTGTTCATTTAAAGGCCAGATGAATTGAATCATATAGATTTTGCTACAAAGGATAATAAAAACTGTCTTGGTTGAGAAGAAAAGAAATATTCTTTTGTGATGCTGCTTTTTCTTCTGTCGAAAATGCTAAAGGAAGAAGGTAAGGTTTACAACTCAGATATGAGCATTAGCCTGAAACTTAAGGAGCATTGTAAGTAGAAGAATCAAACAATAAAGAATTCTACTTGGAAGATTATCCTGAACCTTACATAGCAATCTCTCATTATAGACATTTATTCCATTTACCTAAGAATGGCAAATTCTGGCCTGGGTTTCACATTAAGCATAAAGTCATCTCAACTGGCCTTTTAAAGCTCTTTCATAACAAGGTTTTAAAAATCATTCAGAACATAAGATCTGAGATATTTTTAATCTCCTAAGTTTATTATTTTTAGGTAATTTAGAGACAACATTTCTGTAACAAATCATACATAATTATAATTGTCTCTTGACAGGTGATTTTCTGTCTCACTGATATGAGTCATGGAATAAGGAAGGCATAAATTTTAATTCAGATGAATATTGCCTTCTTTTTTGGTTTAGGAAAAGTGAAGTATGTACAACTAAACATCCTAAAAGGAGCTGTGGTGGCACAATGGTTAAGACCATGGCTGTACCTGAAAGGTTGGCAGTTCAAACCCACCAAGTGTTGCACAGGAGAAAAGACCTGGTGGTCTGCTTCCATAAAGATTACAGCCTAGGAAACCCTATAAGGCAGTCCCACTCTGTCATACAGGGTTGTTATGAGCTGGAATCAACTCAACTGCATTCAAAAGCAATACCACAAACAAACAAAATAACAACAACAACACATTCTAAATAAAGCTGCCTGTGCATCTTTGAGTTGATACCATGTTCTCCTTTCTTTTTCCTCCTAGATAGGCTGTTCAAATAAACTGGGGGGGTGGGGGGGAACTTTCTCAAGTAAGAAAAGATAACATTTGTCTGCAAAACTTGATCGGCTCAGATGCATGGAGGCTGAGAAGCGTTAAAGTTCTTAATTTAAACATTGTGAATGTGTGTGAAAGTTTCTTACCTTAACATTCATTTTTATGATAGACCAAAAGACTTTCTATTTTTTTTCAAATTACATACAGTGGCAAAGACACAAAATTGTTAAATTTCAATGATAAAATCTGCATTTGCTTCTTTTTTGCCTCCCTTGAAACACACCAATTCCCAAAGTCTATTTAACTTCTAAGATTTTGTTTAAGGAAAAGATTTCTTTCTTCTAGTCCATCCAACATAAAAGTGCTAGTGATAAATTTTGCTCTGAAAGCAGCTATACTTGAATTTGGAAACTATCAAGAAGACCTTCAAATTTATAGCCCAACGTTTCTCATTTCATATTAAATTTATTACTTGACAAGCCTAGTCTTCAACAACATTTTCATATTTCAAGAAGGCATTCATAAGTAATGAAAATTCTAGAAGACTTACGTGGTTAAATTATATCCTAACAAATAAAAATCAGGTTTAAAGGATGTTCAAGAGCACCAATGTATGAGTTTACATTTATTTCTTAAAAACATAATGTTATAAAAATAAGGTAAAATGTTTCCAGATTAAGGATTATTTCATATGATTTGATTTAGGTCTGTTAATAAAAAGAAACCACTGACTTATGACTGCAACTGGGTATGTTGACTATAAACCTGAGAATCCTTATGTGCAGCACAGATGTTGGAGGTGGTCACTGACTAGCAGTTTAATGTGGTCCCCCAAAACGTCCTATGGAATTGTAAATTAAATACAGGATTAAATGTTAGGGTTTAGGAAGTCTCCATTTTCCATTTTCAGCTTAAACTGGGCAGGTGAGCCCAAAAAGATTTCCTCTCCCCCCATAATTTACTGGTAAAATTATAATTTGTTAGAATATAGGTCTGAGTTTCCATGTCCCAACTATTCACTAGTGAAGATGTAAAACACAGCACTATGACATAGAATTTCTCCTGAGCCATCCTATTTGATCAGTATGGCAGCAAATCCGAAAATACTTGGATTTAGTCCTGAGACTTAGCACTGCCCTTCTCTTCTCAATCTCCAAAACTCCACAAGGAGTTCCAAAAGTCACTTACAGTTTTTCATAATGACTGTTCAATAAGCTGTGCCAGGGGCCACTTTGGTATGGCTGCCACTTCAGAGCAGGGGAGCACTGGTCCGCACGCATTGCACTCTCACTGTCATAGTCTTGTACTTCACTGTCATAACTCCGACTTATCACTGCAAAGAAAAAGGTGGGTTAGATCCTCTCTGCCAGGCCAGTTTTCCTAGACTCACAGACAGATACTTGGAACTTATGAATAGGCCATGTATAAAGCAGAATGACCACATGGAAATTGTCAATTTTTGGGAGGCAGGAAATGTGTTGCTAGTCTTCTTTCCCCATCTGCTAAAAGATGATTGAGCTCAGTTATCTCTAATGACCTCAAGTGGGTTCTTACTGGAAATTTTGGCCCCTGAGATCTATCTGCCCTATTTCCTGCATAGCTTCTCCTCACTTCTAGTCTGTGTGGTTCCCAAGAAGTCCAATCCCAACTCTAGGAGAGTAGGTAACCCTGGCTAGATCAATTAAAATACAGCATTCAGTACTTGCATCAGTGACTGCAGGTGGGGTAGACACGTGGCCTAATCAATCCAAGAGGATGTCAAGGACTTCAAGGAATGTGATTTAAAGATGCTAACACTCTTCCATTGGATTTAAAGCTCTAAGAAACATCCCCAAGAGCTCCTGACACTATGTGGGGACTACAAGGAAAAAGCTCATCAAAGAATTAAGCCAGTACAGCAGAAGGCAGAGTTAAGAATGGGGGCACCCAGGTCCTCATGATACGATTTGAGTTCTAGGATCAAGCTCTAAGATCTTGGGTTATAGGAAACACTAAATATTTCTCTCTTTTTCTCAAGGTAATTTGAAGATTTTTATTGCTTGTTTTAGTTAATTGCAACCAATACATCCTAATTTGTTCCAGGCCCCTTGTAGTACCGTGATTCTGTGGTTCAGTTGGCTTTTTGAACCTAGATGAGTTATTTATTCGCTTAGTGTCTTACTTCCCTCCTCTGCAGAACAGAAATTAAAAACACGTGTTCTGCCTGTCTTGCACCATCACAAAAGCAGAGAGCATAAGATAATAGAAGTGAAAGCACTTTCAGAAACTAAAACCAAAAGAAAGTCACAGAGAAGACCTTAGTAGTAGTAATATCAACCATATGAAATTGCCATTTTTGCAGGTCAAAAATGGTCAAATAATGGCAATTTCACATGAACAATCTACCATTTTTGCATAATCCTTGCAATAAATGTCTTGAGCATGCCTCCCAAACTGTACAATTCATCCTATGGTAATTTTTCTGTAAAATGCTGTACCTATGTTTGCTGTTTCCTTTGTGTTTGAACTCCTCTATCATCACTCATGGCTGACATTAGACATGAAAGGGAACTGGTGGAGGTTGGTATGACCAGATGCAGGCTGTGAGCAATAACGTAGAAATATGACATTAGCTCCTATGGCGCCTGTACTTAGCCCACAGCTTAGAAAATACAGGAGAACATGGCTGGGCTGTTCCTGACTCATCGTTATACTTCCACTGAGAACTTCCTAAAACAAATAACAGAGCTCCTTTGGGTTTTCTTTTGATCCTTAATGTCATAGAAAATATATTTTTCTTATGGTATTACTCTTAAATGTCATGTAAGCAAAATATCTTTTATTATTTTATATAGATAGATAGATAGATAGCTTGTCTTTTTATTTCTCAAAAATTTCAAAAAACATCTTTTCTCCGGTGAGAGTACCAGAGGTGGGAAACACGAGATGCTCTTTGTGCTCTCACGCCTCCAAAAGCTCCTGGCCTGAAAGCTCTTCCAGAACCAAACAAACAAAATTTTTCCATGGTTCTACCACTGGCACCAAATTCAAAGAGAATTTTAATTGTATTCAATGGAGAGGGTAAAGGAAAGGTCACGAGTTTGTAGTCAGATGGATATGGGTTTGAATCCCAACTCTGTACTTAAAGATTCAACAGTCCAAGGAAAATGATCTAAGTTCTCTGAGTTTCTCCACTTGCACAATGGAGGAACAAAACAATACCTACCAAGGATTGCTGAAGGGACTCGATGAGGTGATGTGTGGGAAATGCAGAGCACAGTGTCTGCCACCAGTAAGAGTTTAAACAATGAAGCCTTTTGTTGTTATTAGTGTACTTGTTTCAATTCAGGTGACTCAGTTCATCCTAAGTCTTAGCAAGTTTTTGGACCCTTGGTAACTCTACCTGATGTGAAGTAACTAACACTGTATGCTTGCCTAACTTCCCCTTGCCTAACTTAGGCCTTTTCCCACTCAAGCATGAGAGCAGGGTCAGAGTGCCAGGGAAGCAGCCAAAAGTTGACTCCACTGCTCCAGGCACTGATGGAGAAAGTCAGCAATGGCCAGAGGGCATTGTCCTTAAGGACAACTGCATTTTCTGCCCTTTCCCATTATAGCAGCAAGAGTATAGGAGGGGTCACCCCAAAAGGAATGATATAACTGGGGCTTCCCTTTTATCAGGTGGTAAGGCCCCAAGGGGCAAAATCTAGGACCACAAGCCCACACTGAATTCCAGGAGCAAGCTTGAGCTCAATACTGAAACTTAATTTTATTATTAACAGTAACAATAATATCCACCATTATTGAGTGCTTTCTGTACCACAAGAACTTCCCAGACTCTTATCTCATCAACTCCCTAAATCACCTGCAAGGTAAGGATCTTTATTATTCAATAAACCTTTTTTTTTAAGTTGAAGTATAATATACATAAAGAAAAGTATATAAGTACACCACATTTTAATAGTTTTTAATAAGATGGATTCTATATAACCACTACTAGATCAAGAAATAGATGGCCAAAGCTATGGTTTGTGCTCAACTACTAACCTAAAAGTTGGTGGTCCAAACCCACCTAGAGGTGCTATGGAAGAAAGGCCTGGCAATCTTCCTTCATAAATGTTGTTGTTGTTATGTGCCGTCTAGTCGGACCCGACTCATAGCAACCCCTCCTTGGGTTTGCGAGGCAGTATCACTATGGAAGTAGATTGCCCAAACTTCCTTCCGAGGAGTGGCTGGTGGGTTTGAACCTCCAGCCTTCTGGTTAGCAGTCAAGTGCCTTAGGCACTACGCTACCAGAGCTCAGAAAACCCTATGGAGCAGCTCTATTCTTTAACACATGGGGTCACCATGTGTCTGAATCAACTTAATGAAAATGGGTTTGGTTTTTGGTTTTAGCATCCCAAAAGGTACCCTCATACCCCGTTCCAGGGTCTACTTCCTCTTTGCCCAAGAGTAACCACTATCCTGAAATCTGATAGCATAGAGGAGTTTACAAAAATGAGTATATACTCTTACGTGCAGGCTTCTTTTCCCCAACGTTCAGTTTATGAAAATCATTCATTATTATTGCAAATGACATACTCATTTTTATTGTTATACCATATATGACATTTCATTGTGTGACTATACCACAATTTATTCTTTTGTTGATGGCCAGTTAGGTTATTTTCATTTTTGGTTATTATAAATCATGCTGCTATGGCCTTTCTTGTGCATGTCTTTGGGTCGGCATATGTACGCATTTCTGTTAGGTCTGTTCCTGGGAGTAGAATCTCTGGGTCATAGGATATTATTTAGTAGATGCTGCTAAATAGATTTCTGAAGTAGTTATGAGGTGAGAATTCTTAATCTCATTTGATAAATATGGAAACTGAGGTTCAAAGACCTGAAATGGCCTGCCTGGTGTCAGAGCTGTTAGGTGGAAGAGATGGAATTCAAACCTTCCTTTTCCTTTCACGTTGCGCTGAGGGATTTTGAGATCTAACAGCAGAAAGAACCAGAAGTGTGAAAACAGAAAGCTGCCTAAGCCCCAGCCTTTTGGAGAAAACTGAGAACTTGTATTTGGCTATCTTTTAAAGTATTTTCTTATGCATTACTTTGTATAACCTTGGAGATGAGTAAAGTAGAAATTATGATTCCCACTTGAATTATAATGAAGAAAAGGAAGGCATAGGAAATCTCCAATTGCTGGGGAGATGAGACAGGCACTTTTTCTGATCCTATGGCATGAATTCAGCCCATTCATTCTCACTGTGTGTCAAAAGACCATACTTCTTGGGCTAGAAACCCCTTTCTTATTTTGAGTTTAGACCCTGCAGGGCCAAAACCCAGAACCAAACCAGTTGTACTGCGTGGATTCCAGCTCATGGTGAACCCCTGTGCTGCAGAGTAGAACAGTGCTCCACATGGTTTTCAAAGCTGTAAGTTTTCAAAAGCAGAGCACCAGGGCTTTCTTCTGACATAAGTTCAAACTGTCAACCTTTTGATTAATAGTTGAGGTCTTAACCATTTGCATCACCCAGGGACTCCATGTGGGGCCAGAAACTCTTCTAGATTTTGGGTTCAGACCAAGTGGGGCCAGAAACCAGCCAGCAGGAGTCTGCCCACCTGCTGCTTTCTATCAAAGCAAAATCACACTTCTGCCCACACCAACCTAGTTCATTTTACATTGTGAATCCTATAAAAGGGGATCTTTGAACCCTTGGCCAAAGTGTACTGCTTGGCAGAAGGTTGCCAAAAATACCTTACCAATTGATTTAGAGTATTTTCTCCTGTCCAAATCTAGCAATCTTACTCCTGCCTACAACACTGGCACAAGCTTCTCTTTCCTCTACCAATGTGCCATTTCCCCGGGATCTCTGTGACAACCTATAGCCTTTGGAATGTCAAACTGGAGTTCTCTACTAGGGAACTTTTTGCTGAAAATATAAGCTGTAATCAAAATGTGGTACCCAGAGTAACAAGTTTTTGCACTGGAACCTGCTTATTTTCTTTCTGGAACTGTTATCTGGAACCAATTATTTCTAGTCAGCTTTTCAGTGATTTTTAATAGGACTTAAACAAGGTATTCAGGATTTCCTATCTGTCAGGACCAAAACACTGGTTTTGGTTCCATCACTGTTCTCTGGATACGGGCAAAAATCATTGCCTTCTCAGGAAACAGGAAGAAGAAAGCAACCAAAAGGATGGAGTTTAACTCTGCAATGCCTGGGATGATTAGAATAGCAATCTGGCTTGATGAGGACACTCTTGGAGGGTTTGAGTGATTTGCCCAATATCCCTCAATGAGTTGATACATCTGTAGGAGACTGAACAAATGGTTCCCTAATGTGGCTGGGAATTTACTCAGCCTTTTGTATTTGCGAATCTTAAAGAAGGTGCCAGATGGCTGTAGGGATCCCTGAAGAAAGTAGGGTAACATGCATAGGAAGGGACATGGAGAGCTCTGTATTCCCAAACCAAACCCACTGCCCTCAAGGGGATTCTGACTCATAGCAACACTATAAGATAGAGTAGAACTGCCCTCAGAGGGTTTCCAAGGCTGTAGATCTTTATAGAAGCAGACTGCCTCATCTTTCTCTCACGGAGCTGCTGGTGGGTTCGAACTGCCAACATTTTGTTGATCAGCCAAGTATTTTAACCACAGCACCATCAGAGCTCCTTGTACTACCAAAAACCATAACCAAACTCACTGCCATCAAGTTCATTCGACTCAAAGTGACCCCTCCTTGGGTTTCCAAGGTTGTATCTCTACAAAAGTAGATTGCCCAATCTTCCTTCTGAGGAGCGGCTGGTGGGTTTGAACTGCCAGCCTCTGGTTAGCAGTCGAATGCCTCAGAGGGCTTTAATTAGCATTTTGTGTTTCTAGGCTTGGAAAAGAAAACTCAAGCAACTGCTGGCTATGCTGGATCCATGCAAATGGAAAGGAGATAGATAGTAAAGGGCTGAGTATGGGCTGGACACACAGTGCAATTCTGACACAGCATTCCTGGGTGGTGGTGATGTATGGCGTTTGGCTGAGGGAGTTAAGTCATCGTTCACTGAAGGACTTCCCAAGCCCAAGTCAGAGTTAACACCAAGCATCCCAAGAGGATCAGCAGGCTCCATGGAGCTCAGAGGATCAGCTCTTACTATGTGTCCCTGAGACGCAAAGGCAGCAACCCATGCTGGTTAGCCTGCGTCTTTCCCCACTCGGGTGATAAGCCGCACACACTCCTTTCTGGGCAGTGTAAACCTCAGGAGTGTGTGCACTACAGCTGGGGAAGAAGGGGATGGAGTAAGAGGGAAACATTGGACTTCTTGCCAAGCTGACACATGGGGGTAGAAGAAAAGTGACATGGTATCCAGAATTTGGTCACTGTTCATACTGTTTATATTTAAGCACTTAAAGTGGCTAATAGAAAGGATCTGGGGTGTAATCATTCCCCCAGTGTTACAGCATTTACCCTATAAACCAGTTCATCCTCAACTTGATCGGGTCTTTAAGCTCAAACATGACATGCCACCTCAGATGATTTTGATGAAGGACTTCTAAAATAATTTTACACAATTGAACAGATCTTCTGAGAACCTGCTAATTTGAAATGAAAGTGGAGAAAGCACAACTTTCCACCTTCCTGCTCTGGTGACATAGTGCCTTAGGCATTTGATTGCTAACCAGAAGGCTGGCGGTTTGAACCCACCAGCCACTCTGTGGAAGGAAGACCTACTTCCGTAAAGATATACTGCCCCGGAAACCCAATGGTGGTCCCCATGAGTCGATTCAATGGCAGTGGGTTTGACTCTACCAGCAAAACCCTCTTAAGCCTGGCTTCTCAAGAGAGTGAACCAGCGGCATCACCTGCAAACTTGTTAAAATGCAGGATCTCGGGCTCCACCTCAGATTTATTGAATCAAAATCAACATTTTAACAAGATCTTCATGCTATTTATTCATGGACACAGTAAAGTGGAAAAGTATTTCACCAAACAAACCAAGGGGCACAGAAGTAGGCTCTTGAAGGTACTATCCACCTTGCTTGGGGCCCAGCTCCCTTGAGATGCCCTCACTGCTCCTGAAGGGACTGGCGCTTCACCTTCCCTGGAGAAAGAGAATGACACCCCTTTCTGACCTCACCCACATGGCCCACATAAGATTGTAGGTGAAACATGTCAAGAGGGAGGAAATAAACTTCCAGAACCTATCACTACTCTTCTATGAGAGAAAATAATTCTGTAGTGCTGCTCAGAGGCTGGTTAAAAATGCCTTGATTTAAAGGCTGTGCTGGCACTGACTTGGTCCACAGCCGGGTTTCTCACTTGGTCTAGAGTGGTGGGCCCACACTCGGCCATCCCCGGAATCCTCCAGCGCCTGTGTATGCCTCCTCTTCTTGGTTGGTGGCAAGGAGTCTCTAAAATCAAGAAGCCAAAGTGAAGGTTAGGCTCTTCTTTGCTCTCCATGATGCTTGCTGTCAAATTTAATTTTCCAGGCCTCTCCTCTCTGCCTTCCTAAATTTACTTCCAGTTCATTAAGGTTCCTTGAACCCTCATAGCCGGAAACTTAACTTTCCTCTATGCAATGGATCTGGAATTCCCCTACTTGAAAAGTAAACTGACTACACTGTCAAAGGCAGAGGACTCCTTGGGACAGAGAACATATGAACTTAAAATATTGGAATACATTTTACACCTGAAAATTTTGTTCACATGAAATTTTACCGTAGTTTTTGATGGCCTTTACTCTTTTTGCTATCCTCTAGTTTCAGAATGAGGAATGAAAGAAAGGAAAAGAATAAAAGGAAGAAAGAAGACTATTAGTTAATGCTAAACTGACAGATTCTTTTCTGAGTGCTCATTCATAAATTCCCCTGGGTAGTCTAGCTGAGGTCGGGTAAACAAACAGTGCTTCCTCCATCACCCAGAATCTCTCTCTGTATTTCTGACATTTTAACTTTTCATTGAATGAGGACCTCAGGCCTAGCGGGTTTTAATTAACATTGTATAAAGGCAAGAACTCTGGGTTCTTGCCATATCCGATCCGTGTCTCAACACTGCCATCTGCTGGAGAGGTTATCACGCTCATTCTCTCTACAGTCATGGCCCAGAGGCCCCAGCTACTCAGGCTTTCTGCTGCGGTCTTTCATATCTAAGTATCTTGCCCTTTACCCAGGGCTGTGGCACACAGGCTGCTGATGGTAAGAACAATTTATCCCCAAATGGGAGGATATGGATTGGTCCAGGGGAGTCGCTGGATGACTGGTGCTTGGGTAGCAGTTGTGAAAGCCACTGTGAATGTGGTCAAAGTTGCTCATTTCAGATGTGTTCTGTGGTGGTTGCGAAGACATTGTCCCAGGTGCAGCTGCAGAGTGAAGATAGGTAGCTGGAGTCCTCTCAGCTATAGGCCTCAGAGTTCGGCAGCATGCACCTGGGAAAAGATGCAAGTGAAAAGTGCCTCTCCTGATCGCTACTCAGACCAAGAAAAAAAATAACAGTGCAAGATGTGCTAAAGGTGGATGTCACTCACCTTTGATCTGTGGAGGAGAGCATGGGTCTGATGCAGTATAGGGTGGGGTATCTGGTAGCTGGCGTTGCCTGAGGATCAGAGACATGTGTTGCTTCTTGTTTTAATCTAGTCCATCATTACATTTTTTTGGTACACGTAGGAGGTGGTTCTCAGTGTACAGCATCAGCACCCATAGTGATAGTTACCAGGTGCTCCCAGGAAGCCAAAAACTCCTCAGACTATGCCAGTATCATACCATGCTTAAGTGAGTCACAAAGACCAGCTAGGTATGAATCCCAGCTCTTCCATTTCCTACCTATAAATTCATGAACAAGTACTTAATTTCTCCAGGCCTCAGTTTCCTCACCTATGAAATGAGAGTAATTTTGACACCTACCTTACAGCACTGTTGTGAGAACTAAATATGATAATGTATGTAATGTCCAAACATAGTGAGTGCTCAATACTTTTTAATTAATATTATTACTGCTTCTTAACATTCTCAAGGTACTTGCACCAGAAAAAGGGTAGTACATACTGTCTGGGCTAAGGCAATATTAAAATGCCCCACTGAAGCAGCGGTTTTCCAGCTGTGCTCTGGAAAACCCCAAAACTCTTGAAAGAAGCTTCAGGGTTTTTACAAAAGATTTTTAAATACCTGAAAAAAAAATTCACAGCTTTTATCTGTTTTCTATATTGAGGTGCCAAGTAAAGTGTGGAAACCACTGTTCCAAAAAACCTACAAACCCCTTATAGCTCAGAAAGACTTGATTCTAAGTCATACACAAGTACTACCAACCCTCAATTGCTTGATTCTCTTGCTTGGAGAGTAAGCACTCTTATTCCCCTTGGTTGACTAAAATTCCAACCTAACTCAGTGAAGAGAAAGTTCTGCTATTATCATTCATTAAAAATGTTGTTTTCTCTTCACATTGGTCCTTTGGAATTTATTCACTTCCTGTTAATCAGGGGAAAAGAACATATATTTATCTCCCTCCAAAAAAGTCCATTCAAATGAAAATAAAGAAACCAAGCAGCATAAACACAAAAGGACAAAGAGTATATGAGAAGTGACCACAGCAAACCATATTTCAGTAACATTGTGGCAGACAGAAATGGGTGGATGCTAACTGAATTAGCAAATAGAAAAGAGGAAAAAATAAAAAAAAAGTCCCTGCTTTGGGATGGTGGAGAGGGCATAGGCGCCAACAAGAAGGAATCCAATTGGAACCCCACAAAAACTCAGAATATTGGAGTCGCCACTTCTGAACTCTGCAGTGACGGTTTGGCTGAAAACAAAAGGGTTAGTAGAGTGTTTGATTAAGAAACAGTTACACCCTTAAATGCACTTCCCCTATCTGCACAATCAGGCAACTACCACGACCACACAATAGAAATTTGAAAGGTTTTCTATCTGAGCAAACTGAACCAGAGACACTGTGGATATAGGGTTATCCAGGACAACTGAGGTCATGGATGACCTGTTAGGCTGAAAATGAAATGATTAATTAAATTCTACATGCTGAACTGTGACATATGTCCTCAACTCTGCTTTGCATGTATCCACACAGATTTCCTACAGGTAAGAAATTTTATTCCCTAGAAAAACTGAATGTCCTCAGAGGGAAAAATGGTATTTTGAAGTTACTCAAGGAAATAGCAAGTCTGTATCTGATCACTTATGCTTTGAGAATAGTAATTTGCAGACAGAACTATTTAAATAGGAACAAGCAACCCACCAAAACCAAACCCACTGCTATCAAGTCAATTTGACTCATGTCGACTCTGTAGGACAGAGTAGAACTGCCCCATAGGCTGTAAATCTTTACAGAAGCAGACTGGCTCATCTTTCTCCTGTGGAATGGCTGATGAGTTCAAATCACTGACCTTTTGGTTACCAGGTGGATGTCTTAACCACTGCACCACCAGAGCTCCTTAAGAAAAAGCAAAGGACCACACAATCTCAGAAAGCCTCTAACATTAAAGACAGACCAAACAACCAGAGAAACAAGAAATGCAAAAGAATCACAGACATCTCTTCTGCTTCTGATATGACTGGTAAGCTCTTACCAGACCTGACCATCCACAGACAAAAAGTATAAACCCTGGGGGAAAAACAAAACAAAACATTTAAAGCAAAAATCAGGATATTATCTTTTGTGGTTTGTAATGTATGGAAAAGGAGGGCTGGTAGCATAGTGTCTAAGGCACTTGACTGCTAACCAGAAGGCTGGCAGTTCAAACCCACCAGCCACTCCTCGGAAGGAAGGCTGGGCAATCTACTTCCGTAGTGATATGGCCTTGGAAACCCAAGGAGGGGTCGCTATGAGTCGGTTCTGACTCGATGGCACATAACAACATCAACAACAACAACGTATGGAAATAGTCTGCAAAAATACCACTTTGAAGACTAAGGTACATCTGATCCAAGCCATGGTATTTTCAATACCCTCATAGGCATGTGCCCACTGGACAATGAATAAGGAAGATCGAAGAATAATTGAGGCATTTGAATTGTGTTAGCAAAGAATATTGAATGTACCATGAACTGTTAGAAGAACTAACAAATCTATCTTGGAGGAAGTATATCTGGAATGCTCCTTAGAAGCGAGAATGGCCAGAATTCATCTCTTGTACTTTGGTCATGTTGTCAGAAGGGATCAGTCCTTGGAGAAGGGTATCATACTGAGTAAAGCAGAGGGTTAGCAAAAAGGGGGAAGACCCTCAGTGAGAGGGATTGACACAGTGTCTGCAGCAATGGGCTTAAGCATAGCAACGATTGTGAGGTTGGTGAAAGACTGGGCAGTGCTTTGTTCTGTCAGACATAGGGTTACTACAAGTTGAAACCACCTTGACTGGCATCTAACAATACAACAATGTATGAAGGTGTAATACTTATGACAATTATAGCATAAAATATGGCGTGGGGAACTAATGAAATATACAGTTGCAAGTTTATAATAATATTCGGACACAGTTCCGGCAAGATGG